GCGGAGGCGCCGGCCGGCTTTGTCCGCCGCTGCCCCGCGCCCGCCCCCCGGACCCGCGTGCGCCGGTGGCCCCGTCCCCGGCGCGGCCGGCGAGGCGCAGCGGCCCCCCGCGGTCACCCCCGCGGGCACCGCCCGGCAGCGAGAGGGTGCTCGGGGTCAGGAGCGGCCCCGGGGGTGGGCGCACATCCCCAGAGACGCTCCTCGCTCGGGAGAGTCTCGTGCTCCGGTGTGGGAGCCGCGTCCGGACCGCCCCGGGGGAGGGGGGCGGGATGTGCAGGTGTGAGCGCACCTGGCTGCCGCCGTGCCCCGGGGTACGCGCTCGCAGCCGTGGCAGGTGAGGAGAGGCAGACAGGCCGCAGGGACTTTGAACCTTGGGCACACAGGGGACGGTGGCAGCAAGGTTAAAACACATCGCAGAGAGGCAGGAAGAGCCACGCGACGAAGCAGAGCTGTCACCGGTATCGCGAGGGACCTGTGCCAGCCCCTGTGTTCATCAGTGACCTAGAAAAGGCGGGAGTGGTAACATGAGAGAGCCCGCTCAGTGCATTTCAGCGAGGCTTTGCTGGCTCCCAGCTCAGACCCGTGACACCACGATCCGTATAGGTGCTGCTGCACGGGGATGCTACAGCCAAGGACAGAGTTAAGTGCTCCAGGCAAAGCTGGGGTCACCCAGAGTGTGGTTTAGGGACAGAGTGGATGAGACAGGCGAGGGATGCTCTGCCACACAGCAGAGCCCTTAGGCTTCTTACTCTTGTCCTCTGTGCCAGCCGGCAGAGCCAGGATGGGTGCCAGGTGAGGAGTCCAAGCTGGTGCCTTGGCTTGGCCATAGTGGTAGTTGCAGCAGGAGGGGGAGATTGACAAAGCCGAGGGATTCAGGGTGTGGCAATCTCCACCTGCTTCTTTCATTGAGGGTAGCAGTACTGGAGCCAAGCATGGTTCTGGGGGGTTCTTGCTGGTCTGATACTGCGGAGAGAGAAGGATCAAAAAGCCAGGAAGTGGGATGTTAGCTATCTTGGGGTAGAAGGAGGATGTTAAGAAGGGAAAAGACAGGCTGAAAAAAGAGGTAGGAAAGGGTAGATGTGCCTGATTGGGGACAGGTTAGTAAAATAAAGCAGAGGAGACCACCTGAGGACATGGCTGTGGAGGAAAGGAAGAACCCCTGCATGCAGTGGGGAAAGTGCTGCAGTACAGGGAAAATGATAATATTTCCTTTTTCTTCCAGATAACCAAAATAAATAATCAGAAGAAAGTAGGAGGCAGGAAAAACAACATCATTGAGAAGAGAGAGGACTTTGCTCAATTTCACACCAGTTTCAGACAACATGTGGGTACAGTGCATCAGGATGGCCTTGTGTAGACCTCCCTTTTTGGCCACTGTTGGAGAAGAGGACACTATACTAGTGTCATCTTCTGAAAACCAAGAATGGTTGCTATTGTGAGATACATTGCAGGTTAAATGTTGCAAAGTGGTTTGATTTCAATTGCACACGAGAAAGCATGGGCTTGAAATCAAGAGTTTGGTAGAGGTTTAATGAAAGTCTAGCAGAATCTTAAACCTGCAGAACTATTGCTAACTTCTGTAGACTAATTTCTCTGACAGTGCACCATCAAAAATTCTTCTTCAGTGTTGTCATCTTCCAATAGTTCACAGAATTTTAGTTTATCAGCAGTTATAGAGGAGTATCTTGTAGCCCTTTATCCTAAGTCAGAATTTTTACTAAAACTTCTAATACTAAATCTTCGGTGCTACTTTTCTTTGAAACTGTATTGGGTTTCCATAGCAAAGTTTTGGAAGCGGGGGGGCTGCAGGGGTGGCTTCTGTATGAAGCTTCTGGAAGCTTCCCATATGTCCAACAGAGCCAATGCCAGCCAGCTCCAAGACCTTGGCCAAGACCAAGCTGAGCCCATCGGTGACAGTGGTAGCACCTCTGGGATAATGTATATAAAGAGGGGTAAAGTTACTGTGCTGGAGAAATTGCAGTCAGACAAGAGAGGAGTGAGAATATGTGAGAGGAACAGCCCTGCAGGCACCAAGGTCAGTGCAGAAGGAGGGGAAGGAGATGCTCCAGGTGCCGGAGCAGAGATTACCCCGCAGCCCGTGGTGCAGACCATGGTGAAGCAGCTGTGCCCCTGCAGCCCATGAAGGTCTGTGGGGATGCAGAGATCCACCTGCAGCCTGTAGAGGACCCCATGCCAGAGCAGATGGATGAAAAAAGGAGTATGTGACCCCATGTGAAGCCTGTGCTGGAGCAGGGTTCTGGCAGGGACCTCTGGACCCATGGAGGGAGGAGCCCACGCTAGAGCAGGTTTGGTGACAGGACTCATGACCCCAGGACACACACACACTGGAGCTGTCTTTTCCTCAAGGACTACACCCTGTGGAAGGAACCCACCTAGATCAGCTCATGAACAACTGCAGCCCATGGGAAGGACTTAGTTGGAGAAGTTCATGGAGAACTGTGTTCCACAGAAGGGACCACATGCTGGAGCAGGGGAGGAGTGTGAGGAGTCCTTCCACTGAGAAGAAGGAACAGCACAACCACCATTCACATCCTCCTGTGCCACTGATGGGGAGGAGGTAGAGAATCAGGAATAAAGTTGGAAGAAGGCAGGGTGGGGGAAGGTGGTTTTAAGATTTGATTTTATTCCTCAATATACTATTCTGATGTCATTGGTAATAAAGTAAATTCATTTCCCCAAGTCGAGTCAGTTTTGCCCAGGATGGTAACTACTGAGTGCTTTCTGCCCATCCTTATCTTGACACACAAGTCTTTCATATTTTCTCTCCCTTGTCCATTTGAGAGGTAGAGACAAAGTGGCTTTGGTGGGTACTTGGCATCCAGACAGCATCAACCCACCACAGAAGCCCTTACAAGTCTGAGTCACTGAGGTAATGTTGTGGTTAGATGTGAGTTATCACAGAACTTGCAATAAGGTCAGTTCTCGTGCAATTACGAAGTAAATCAAATACAAGTTGCTTAGTGTCATTGCATGTTTAGGTCTGTGCAGAAGAGATAAGACAAACTCTTGCTCTGGAGAGATTAATTTGCCTTGATGCTATGAAGCAAGTCTTTCGTACTCCGTCAGCTGCATGAACTCATTGAATTGAGCTTGTGGCTCCACCACAGTTTGGTCACTGTACCACCACGACAAAATAGGCTTCTCCAGTTCAAATGAATAGTAACTTAATTGAGTACACATTATTGTGTTTTGGATTTCAGGTCCTAAAAGCATCTGTACTGGGTCAAACTAAATGTCTGGTTAGCCTAATATTCCATCTTGTGTCCCAACAGGAGCAGGTGCCAGGAAAGAGTGCAAGAACCAGACAATCACATGCAACTCCCCAGCTTCTTCCCTTTTTCCCTTAACTATGGTACCTACGCCTAGTGCTTGCCTTCAGAAGCTCAGCTCAGAAAACTCTTGAGCAAGATGTTATTTACATGTGTAACTCCTAGTAAGTCTTTTCTGTGAACCTATCCAGATTAGAGCCCACGTAACTTCCAGCCAGTCAGTAGCAAAGTGTTCCTAATGTTCAACTTACCTGAGCTGTGTATGAAGAATCACCTTCTTCTGTTTGCTTTGAACCCAGATCCAATTTCATTGATTCTCCTCGGTTCTTGAAATGAAAGAGACAGTGGTCATCTAGTGCAGCCTCCTGCAGAGTCAGCATTGAATGTAGACCAGGTGGCTCAGGCCTTTGTCCAGGTAAGGGTGTGAAAATGCTCCAAGGACAGAAATTCCACAGCCTCTCTTAGCAACTTATTCCCATGTTCTTACAGTGAACATACGTTCATTATATCAAGGTAGAAACTCCCTTTTTTGATTTGTCACCCTTGTCATATGACCAGATATTGAGTTGATGCATCATGCTGCCTGTGGTATTAGCATATTATCACATACATCTGTTAATTACAGGCAAATACATTATTGAAAAAGCATGTTTTATTACAGTAACTTGCAGAGCTCTATTCTAAAAATAAGATCAAGATGAAAACTTACTCTAGATTCATACAAGTTCACAAGCTGACTTGTGTTGGGCCTATCAGGAGGTAGGTTTATGATTTAGATCCCTGGAGGAAGAATGCCTCCAGGCATCATTCATTAATAAGATTACCAGATTCTTCTGATTTTTCCTTTCTTTTTTTTTGTTTGTCCGGGCTCTGGTTCCAGTCCTCCCTGGCTGATCTCGGCCACTTTTCTATTACATATCATTCATTGCTTTCTAGAGGCACTGTGTGGAAGAAACTATTTGAGGTAAAATTAGGAGTTTAAGGCCACAATATCAGGAACTCAGCTAAAGGTTGTGAAATATGTTCTTTAACAACATTAAGGGTCTAATAAAAGCTGTGAGATTCAAGGCTCCCTTTTTTGATAACTGGTAATTCAAGGAGGCATGGTGAGGTCCCTGAATACTGCAAGTTTGAATCCACATATGGCAGCTTTATAGGAATTTGTTACTAATGTTGCTTGCTCTGTCTGCATCCCCTGGGAACACTTTGGATGAATTCATTAATTTTTTTTCTGCCTTGGAAGAGCAGTGGTATATATTTTAAAGTACGTCAAAATCTGTATCTACACTTTCATAGAAAGATAGAATCACAGAATGGTTTGGGTTGGAAGGGACCTTAAAGATCATCTAGTTCCAACCTTCCCATCATGGGCAGGGACACCTTTCACTAAACCAGGTTGCTCAGAGCTCCATCCAACCTGGCCTTTAACACTTCCAGGGATGGGGCATCCACTGTTTCTCTGGGCAACCTGTTCCAGTGCCTCACCATCCTCACAGTGAAGAATTTCTTTCTAGTACCTAATCTAAACCTGCCCTCTTTCAGTTTAAAATTGTTACCCTTTTTCCTATCACTACACGCCTTTGCTATTTCCAGAGTAAAATCACTGAATATGAACATCCTTTCTACGTCATCCCTTTCCTTTCTTTTCAGCCCTTGCCCTTACAACCCAGCTTCACCCTGTCAATAGCAACATCCAAATCTTTTCATTTTCTTTTTTTTCCACTTCTATTACACACATCGTCACCCCTTGCACAACTTAGGTCTGCATGTTTCCCTGCACTTTTTCAACTCTTCATATGCTATAACTTTTCAACAAAACATGGAGTAGGAATCTGCAAATAATGCTGGAAACACTATATAATAGTAATAATAATAATAAAGAGTATAATTTCCATCAGTCACAATTAGATCCAGTTACAGAATCACAGCTGGACTTCAGGCTGCCTTGTACTCTAATGATCTATTTCCTATTTTCCTGAGAATTGAATACAATCGAATTTGATGACTTAGAGGCTGCTGCTGTTTCAGGAAACTTAAATGAGGTACAATGCATAGAAAAGCCTGCTAGTTATGGCTTTTTCATCATGGCCTGTACATGTTATAAAGGGCAAGCACAATCTATAAAAGGTGCAAGGCCAGACCAGAGGCAGAGCATTTGAGGAGCATTGAATTTCAATTATTAAATCTTGGTTAAGAAAGTTCATAAGCCATAATGCAAAACATGTAATATGCCTTTTAGCATGATTTTGCAGCTCTACTCAGAACAGCTGAGAATTAAAACCACAAAAGGTTTCAAGGTAAGACAGATTAATTTGCAAGACAATTTCAGAGTAATTCATTTTCTGATTATACTGAAATATAGGTTATGCAACCAAGTTGTTCTTCAAGATTGTGCAGTGCAATTCCCATCCAGCAGTGGCAAGTGCTTAAGAGACCAGAAATCAATACCCTGATTCTTATAGGTAGAAGAACATGTTAATCAGACGATAGGGAAATACAAAATATGAAAGAGGTCTTGGAGGCATTAGGCAAATCCACATTCCTGGAAAATTTTCAGTGCCATTACTCCAAAACTGGAATGCTTTTTCAGAGGATGGAAAAACTTCACTAAGGAATCACTATGGAATATTTGTTCAAATTGGGGGAAACAACTTCCAACTTTGTTGGATTCTCAAATAGCATGGGAAAAAGCCATTTCAGGAGAACAGTACTAATGATTCCAAAAATAGCATAAGAAGAGGAACAGATTCCTTTCTCCCTGGCTAACTCAAGGAGATTTGCTGAGGTCCCCAATTGCTGCAAATTTGAACCCACAAAAAGTGGTAGACTTCACACAGTTCCAGATAGCTTGCCTTCAAAAGGAATTAGAGAGAAAAAGGGAATATATGTAATGGATTACTTAATGTCAGTAATTCAGTAAAGAATAAAAATATTAGTATATAACAGAACTCTCCAATAATTTGGAAGAGAAAAAATGGCCATGCACAGCTAATACCTGTGTCATGCTGTAGGATAAAAGAGCACTATAAAGAGAGGATCAAACATACAGAAAGATTTGCTTTATTTTCTAGTTTCAAGTCCAAAAGTTGTTTACAACAAGAAGAGGACAAAATAAAAATATTCAAGTCAAAGAAAGACTAAATATTACCTTACTGGATAAGGAAAGCAAGCAAGATAACAAAAAGATCATATTGTATTATTTCAAAATTAAAATGCAGTTGATGGGATTTAATACATACCAATCAATTTTTTTTCCATGTTCATCCATGTCAGGGCAAGTAGAAATCAGCTTGATTTATGCAAGATTAATTAGAAGATAGAAATAAATAGAAATATTCCCAAATATAATGAGGAGCAAAACTGCCTAAATAGGAATGTCGTGGCATTTCCTTCATCACCAGTTTCTGAAGGCTGGCCCAGACAAAGCTTCTGGCAGGGAGATTCTCAGTATACTTATTTTGGTTTAGGTCAGGAACTATGAAGAGATGACCTCACAAGATCCCTTTTAGCCTGGATTTCTGTGAAAACAAAAGCTGATTCAAAATGTTAAGAATTTTAGATGGATATCTAAAATTGTCATTCCATGATATGTACTAAAGAACACCATTACTGAGTGGCTGACTCGTTCACGGGAAGAATTCGTGGCAACTATTTGAATTCAAAGATTTCTGTTATTTACAAGGAGAGGAAGGACAATCCCTGATGTAGTTAAGAAAGATAAGCAATTTGCACAATGGTACTCCTAATGACATGACTAAATATAGAGTGCCTGCTCATTCCAGACCTGGAATGTTTTCAGTTGAAACTCATAATCCACAGAAGCCAGGAGAGCTGGACACAATGTAAGGCGACAAGAGTCACAAGATAGGTACAAAAGTTGGGCACACCATCTGCCAGACATCACTCAGTTCCAGCCTAAGTACTTTCCAGGACAGAATTAATACATATTAATACAATGCCAAATAAATCTTGAACAGAACAGAAAAGGTACTGTCACCAATAGATTGTGGTTTGGTTTTTTTATAAGTACGACATTAAATGAAACATCTTTTGCATTTTGTGCACAGGACAATTTATGCTGTGGGGAAGGTGATGGCAAATGTTAGACAAAATAAGACTTTCAGAACCTGTTTCTCTTGCAATAGATTGAGAAGTTTTCCTAAATTTCTATGGGACCAGTGTCAGGCAGTAGAGTTCTATGAGCACCAGAAGATAAATATAGCTGATAAAATAAGAAAGATTAAATAATGGTAAATCCATTGTTGAGGGATTTCCAAATACGGAAAAAGGAATTATTCATTTTCCTGGCCACTGGAAAGAATATAAACAAGTTCAAATTGTATCCACAGTTCCTTTGAGGAAGATATGGAGCATGACATTGTACAAGAATAGTTTTCAGGCTCACTGTGTCACTGTGATCTGACTGATGACTGCACACAGGCATCAGCTGAGACAGTGACACTGCTGAGCAAGACAGATGGGAAAATGACATTGAGAAGGCAACACTGGTGCTGCATAACAAAACCAAACTTCTCCTTCCAAACCATGTTGAACTCTCCTAGGAGTAAAAAAAAAATGGTGATTATCTTTACTTAAAAGGTTTTCTTTTCCAAACCACTGTCAGTTTTTAAAAGTATGTTCACGCTGCAAGTACCCTTTCTGCAGTCGAGAAGATATCTTCAAAATAATTCTATTTTCCTTACAAATTTCCTTCCTGTTTAAAGATATCCTACTGTTTCATCTTTTAGATGCATATATCTGAATATATCTAATTACCTCTCTCACCAGAATATCCAATTGTCCTAAAGAATTATAGTCATAGAATTGAGTTAAGCATGTCCCCTGAAATACACAAAAATGCAGCAAAAGCAAAAATGAATGAATGCATTTCCTAATTACTAAGTCAATTTACAATTTCCTGTCACACAAGCTTTTATGATTACTATATTTAACACAGTCCTATCGCTTCTTCTCTTCATTTTCTCTGTTTTGCATTTCACAAAGTCTCAATAATTTACATACCCAGCACCTAGGATACTCAGACTAAGATGTATTCATTAATTAATATTCAATTAAAAATTAAATAGTCATAATTTTGTCATGGCACGTCTTATCATTCTAAACAGAGGCAGCAATAGTCAAATTGCTGCACAATGTTCAAGTTACTTGTAGAAGGGAGAAATACAGAAGAACGATTATGTGCCAAAGTCACAAGATCATTTCCAGAAATGAAAATTTGTGGGTCTTTTTCTTATTTTTTTGTCAAAGGACACTGTAAGCCTGGCAGCACTGAGAAACCCTCAGTTCTTCAATATTGATATACCTGCAGCTGTCAACATTTGGTTTGTTTTAAAGCAGAGACTTGAAGTCATTTCCATATTTATGAACACAAACAGGCTCACTGTCATCCCATGGCTATGGACACCTGAGTTTGAAGAAGATCCTTTTTTAAGGAACAGGACAAATGGAAAGACAGACATTACTGACCTCTGAGACTAAAAACTTCAAAATTTTAAATCAAACTGTTCAATTCTCTGATGTTTCCTCACAAATTATGTGTTTTATTTCCTTCCCCAACCTGAGATACCTCACTTCTTTATTCCCATCAAAGCTTTTTTCCCCCAGCTTTGAGTCCATGGCTGTTATTACCCCGTTTTTCCAGCCCCTCTGGCAACTGCCATTACCATGTTGGCCCCTTTTTTTGGAATATTTTACATACCACATTCAAGGCAAGCAGAATGTCACATATTCCCAACCATATTCACTAAGACATTTTTTCTAAAGAAATTAAAGACCCCTGAATTCACTATCCGGGCTTCTCCTAAGTTTGTTCTTCATTTGCTTTGCAAGACCCAAAACTTCACCCCTGATTCCCCTTAATAGTAATACAAACTAACACGTTCAACAGGATGTTTTCAAATTTGAATGTGTCAAAGCCTTTGATAAAGCAGATTTTCACTTCATTTTTCTTAATAAACCCATAAATAGCTTGCTGCTGCTCAGTAGATCACTTCACACATGTCTAGGCATACTAATAGCAATCTCCAAACAAGACTCCAGACAAGATTCAATTTTAGCATCTTCTGCCCTATCTTTCCAGAGATGTTACTTTCTCAGCATGCTTCTAACTCACCAAAGTGTCAGCCCTCTTCCTAAATAAGCTTTTCCCAGGCAGAACAATTTCTTCTGGCTGTGGTCTCCCAGTTCCTCTTTCAAAGACCTTTGCAGGAGAATCTGCTTGGCTCCAGAAGGAGATAACAGAGTTAGCCATTCTCCTTGATTTTTCTGGTAACGTGAAGTGTACATACCTCATCACAGCTTTTCAGTATCCGACTTCCTTCCGGTTTCTTCCTACTTTCTGGTGCAATCCTAGAAAGTGTGCCTTCTTGACAATCCCCTACATGTGTTTTTGCTTCTTCCTATGCTGGGCTCAGGTCGTTCCGTGGTTTTACAGTCTCTTGGTACATACCTGTATCCCTTTCACTCCTGGCTTCAATAATTTGCAACAGCAATCAGTCAGTTTGCAAAGGCAATGCAATAAACCATCTGTATGTGAGCATGGCATAACCAGTAGCTATAGTAACAGGAAAGCACACTTTAAATAAAAAAATGAAAAACAAACAAAAAAATCTGAGCAATATCGCTCAGCTTTTCCTCCACCCCCAAATATTACATGGCTCCATAAATATCCTCTTGTGTTCCTTCACCTAATTACATCTTCCCCTAGCCCAAAACAGAATGAGATACAAATAAAACTTTATTTTGGAGGAAAAATAAATAAATAATAACACACAACAAAACTAGAAAGAAAAGCTTGTCTCTTTCCAGAAAAGAAGAAAAAATAAATCTGTAAGTTGCAAATCCAGGACAGGCAAAATTGTCACTATCCCCGTTCTGCCTTATTTGCTGATACACAGTCTTAGGACCCTTGTGGGCTGTGAAATTAATTTCCATTGTTCCTTTTTTATTGTCTTGTTTCCTCAGTAATCTCCCTGCCTGCAGTGAACCATCAGCATGGCCACTGTCTCTCAGTTCCATCTCACATGTAAGGGGGCTGCATAGTATTTATTCTTACTCCTCAAAAAAATGGATGGGGTGCAGATGTGAGGCTCACACTTTTGAGTTACAAATGGGTCTTCAGGGCAGCATTACCAAAGGCTTCATCCAGGGCTGAGACATCATTGACTGACTGCCCCAATCCCCAAATCCTGAGCACGGAGGTGGATTCACAGGGCCTTGGCACCCAGCATGGGAGCCAGCCCTGGGGACGAGAATTCTGAGGAGCCTCCCTGATGTGCTGGACGCACACACAACCAGCCCCTGTAATGCAGCTCCCACCTGAGCCAGCTCTGTGGGTGCAGATCCCCAGGGATCCAAGTGGGAGCAGTTTGGGAAGTTAGCAAGGGTTGGACATTTTCCCTAGCATGGTGCTGTGCTGTCTACAGAGATCACTTCAGACCCTGCAGCAGTAAGGTCACGTGTTGGTACTTGTGACACAGCTCACTGCTACACAGAGCTGGAGAACAACTTCTAATAATGCAGAATAGCATAGGTAACTTTTAAAACACAGATATGAAAAGAACCTTCTGCAAGTTCTTGAGAAGAGCTCTTGAATCTGAGCGGACTGAGTCAAGGTATTATAGAAAATATGGGGGGTTTTTAACCATTCCTCTAGAGTCTGTGTAGGTGGACTTCCACAGAAAAGACCAAAATAGACTCAGGGCCTCAGCTTACTTTAGCACTAAAAAGGTCAGCAGGGTGCAAAACATTGTTCAGTAAATTATAGCACTTACACCTGTGTCACACATTTTCATTCCTGCTTTTTGAAAAATGCATGTCAAAATAAATAAACAATACAGACTCAGTTCATACCCCAAAAAATTATTATTTTATATAAATTAAAAGAAACTAACTTTGTTTACTGCAGTATTACCTTCCAAAAAGTTATTATTTCTTATTTGACACTTCCTTCCTTGAGGGAGCAGAACTATTCCATATATCTCTTAAATGCATACAGATTTGGTAATGTTCTCAATAAAACCCACCTGAAATAGATTTCCTTCTAATCAGTGAAGTAAGTAGCCATGCAATTAAGGAGAGACAATTATGTATTTCAGCAAGGTATAGCCTGATATTTATCAAACTGGAATATTATTATGCCTGATTCAATTCTATACATTGACATCTCTCCATTGTTATTGATTAATGGTTAAAACTCTCTAAGATTGTTATAAAACACTGTTATAAATAACTTTTATTATTTAGATACATAATAAATGTGATCTCTACAAATGATGAATTATATCCCACTCCTTAATTACAGAGTCGTCTGAAATCTAATTTAAACAGTAGCTAAGCAGATTAAATTCAAAACCAAGAACAATAGCAAGGCAGTTGGCAAAATGATAAATGTATGGGGTTCTTTTCTCAGCACTGTATAGTTTTTCCACAGACTGTTTTGTAAAGTATAATCTTTCTCAATATCTTATTAGAACGCTGTAATCTGGATTTACATATTGATTCATTCAGTTTCAATGTCAATCAAAACATGAAAACTTGATAAAAAACAACTCTAATTGTTCCTCAGAGACTTAGCAATAATTACTCACACGCCATCTCTCAGTGAAGGAGATGTCTTTAATATGCTCTGTTTTCCAAGCATAACAATTGTACGTTTCTTTTGGGCACTGTGTACTTCTCAAATCAGCATTTCACTCACCAAGATGTTGAAGGCTGCCTTAACAACATATCACACAGGGGCTACACTTGATAAAATTGAAACTGTATTCTGTCAACAATAATTATGTGGGTGTTTTGCTCATTTCCTGCTATAGCTGTCCCATGGCAACAGAGTAAAAGCAGCACTCATTTTTTAAATACATAAACGACTCCTTAGATGACACGTTTCTGGCTCAGGTTTGGCAAAGGCACAGTGAAAACAAAGACTTTTTTGAGAAACTATCACAACTACTTCCACTATATGCAAATCTGTAGGGAATGTGCTAATTCCCAAGTGGAGGGTGCAGCTTTGGTCTGGTAGTAGCAGTAGTGGCCTGAGGCATTTCCAGAGATCAATAGCAAGGCAACATTTGCACTTCAGGCCATTCTCTCCACTTTTTGGTGGATTTCACAAGAAATGCCTGAACCAAAGGTCATTATTCCACTTAACCCTGCCTTTGGGGTTGTTGCTGCTAAAGAAAATCAGATAAAATCCAAGTTCCACTTTTTATCGGAATTATATCCATCTCGAGTGCTGAAAAAACAGCTGGTGGTATTGATGATTTATTTTGTCATATAAACTCTGGAAAATAATATTTTGGTACATGGGAAATTGGCTTTGCAATTTTCAGGTTTAACAGTTTTGAGAATATTTACTTTTCTAAGATTATTTTGTGGCTTGTGAATCAAGATGCAGATAAGTAGGTATTGTACAGACAGTTCATAAAGCAGTTACAAGATACTGCAGGTTTTACCTTCAGGTCTATGAACATCTAAGTTCTGATGTAGTAAAACCTGATGGCAGGATCAAGTGCAACTGTAACTCCAGCCATGCAAATATTATCTTCACTGAGAAAATTAGCAAAAATGATACCATTATGGTTATTTTTTTCTTACTGTGAGCACCCTGACTAAACTTGTTTCATTTAAGTTGATGCTAATGTAACAAGAAACATCTGGAGATTAACAACGTGGATCAGATTCAGGCTGGATTTTTAGAAGGAACCATTTAATAACCTACCATATGTCCCTGGAAATATCCTTTCTTTTAATTTTAACATTCTAGAGGGATTTTAAGAACAAAATGTAGCACTATTCAAGTGTAAGATCCATAGATGTATGTAAAATATATGCATTTAAGCTGTGTCTATAACAGAGTTCAGTGCACAGCTGTTTTGCCCTAGGGGAAATAAACACAACTCAAAGTAAGGCAACATATAATGTCAAGCTATAGATTGGTATATTAACAAAACCCAATGCTCCTGGAATGTTGAGAGTGAATCTTACACTAACCACATCAATTGTCTTTTGTATAGTCACATGGATGTAAAGGAAACCAAGAGTGTTTGCTATCAGCATCTGATTAACCACTGAATTCTAACCATAGTTTTGGAACAAAGAACAATTTCATTTGATGCCAACCATTGTCTCTAGCAGTGAAACAGCACAGTTTCCATTAGAGGACGATGAATTTTAGTTCTGATAAGAGTGGGGATGCAATGTTAACCTAAGCCGAATGAATATTCATATAGGAAAGTGAAAATAGGTGTCAAGGACTTGCTGCACTTAAGTCCTTGGTTACATGAAAACTGTACACCATTCAACAAAACAACAAGGTTTCTAATGATTACTTTCCCCATATAATTTATTCATCTATTCCAGAGCAGTGTTTCGGGGCTTAATGAGTATTTGTAAAGCTCTGGCTGAAATGCACTCTCTAAATGCAAAACATTATACCATTTACAAAGAATGAAGTAGTGTAGATTACTGGTTCAAAAAAGCCACTAAAGCTCATCAACATGTGCATTTGAAGGGTGTGTTACTTCAGCAGCTAGGAAAGCCCCCTGTTAATGTCCTGTATAGTTGAAAGACTAAGTGTGCTTCCTTCCCACTGAATCCACTCTAATATGCAGAGATAAAGGAAAAGTTGAGGAACTCTTCTCTTATTTTGTCCCATTTCACTCTTATTTTTCCCATATGGGGAAATCCCATATCACATCTCAAAGAATTTCTAGGAGAATAAATAAACAATATTAAGCAGCAACAGTGCTTCCTTTGGAAACAGCTTTTCTTCGTTTCTAAAAAGTTATAGTTGTCTTACTGACTTGGTCCAAATCTCTTCTCTTTGTCCTGTGAGTTCAAGCACTTTTATCACTGTCACTCACATCAAGAGGAGAGAGCTGGAACACCAGGATAGCTGAGCTCTTTGGCCCATCTCTGCCACCTTGGCATCTTATTCACAGAATCATAGCATGGTTTGGGCTAGAAGGGAACTTAAAGACCATTTGATTCCAACCCTCCCATGATGGGCAGGGACACCTTTCCCTAGACTAGGTTGCTCAGAGCCCAATCCAATCTGGCCTTTAACACCTCCTGTGAATGGGGCATCCACAACTTCCCTGGGCAACCTGTTCCTGTGCCTTACCACGCTCACAGTGAAGAACTGAAGTCATCTCTTGTTCCTTACTTCCATGGTCATGTTTCTCCCTGGAAGATCGTTAAATGTCTATTAAAAAAATGAGATTTTCAAATGTTAGTTTTCTTAAACTATAATTTTTTTTCCTCTGTACTCTATGATAGTTCCATTATCACTAATAATAAAAAATCATTTAACACTAATGATGGTAAAGAATAGTTCCACTAATTCTAGAGGAAACCCAGGACTTCATAAGACCAGGGTTTAGCATGAAAAGAGAAAGATTAGGCACAATAAAGATTCTAGGATTAAGTAGCCCTTCTTTCCATGTTAAGTAACTGTCACCCAAACACTTTTTCCTGTATCTTGCTGTGCACAATAAATGAGAAATCAGGAAAGGCAAAACCTTGGCTTTTAATATCTCTCACCTTTCTGCCCATTAGCCCATCTCTCCCACACCTGTCAATGGTGGCTGTTTCTAGAAGGTTCTTACTTTGCTCATACATGGCTTCTACTGCATCTTGGGACACAAGAGAGGGAACAGTTTATATTTATATGGGTCAATCTCAATGTACAAACAAAAGACAAAGTTGTCAGTGGTTCATGGCAGACTCATGGACAGAAAAGGATACACATTATTGCTACGTTCCTTTTATTAAATGAGCCAACTTGGAAATTTAACACCATTTTTCCTCATTAGCCAGGCATAGTAACTAGTTTGGCTAAAATAGAATCTAATAAGCAGGAGTCAGTGTGGAGACTGCATTCTGTTGGGAAGGGAAAATCAAAAAGTTTTAAAAAATTGCGCAGGAGAAACACAACTGAAATTCCAGATTATACCAATTTCCTCAGCAGTACTGTACTATATATGCAGATAATATTTATAGAAACTAGCATCTCTCAGAAACAGGCATTATGTTAATTAAAATGTGTTATAGCCTAAGATTGCATTTTATTAATTCCTGT